AATTTAGATAATATACACTTTACGTATGTTCACTTTGAACTGGCACCTTGAATAACATATCAGTTACTTTTCGTGATAATTTATTATTAGATCGTTTAAATTTTTTTTTTGAGTACCTTCTTTTGAACATGGCCTGACCTTTTCATTTTTATGATTTTTTTAGGATATATATAATCCTGATGACGTCAGCGGACGCGGACAGAGAAGAAGAAGAAGAAGAAGAAGAAGAAGAAGAAGAAGACGACGTTACTTCATTTTTCATGAAAAACGTCACTTTTTGACCGCTTGTATCTCCAGAACGGCTTGACCGATTTTATTTTTTCTTGGCTCAAATTACTCGTGGCGATGCCGCCTTTCAGGTTATATTACGTGCAATTCAAAATTTTTTATATTTTAGTAGTTCTACACCCCCAAAAAATGGACTTTGATGGTGCTGGATAAGGATACTTGTAGTGTCTTTTAAGGTCTTTTAGGGTTTGAACATGGCCGGAGACACTACCGCGTCTCCTAATATATTTCAACTTAGATTCATCTATCCTCTTTCTTCTTATTTTCTCTTCTTTTCTTGCTATTCCTTCCATCATTTCCTGTACTATCTTTTTTGTTTCTTCCTTTTTTCTCTTTTCCTTCAATTCCTCCTTGCATATTTCAGTCTCCTCCAACACTTCTTTTCTCCTTTTTTCCCATTTGCTTTACTCCCTATTTTTATCTCTTTTTCTAGTTCTTTTATGCATTCTACTACAAGCTTCTTTTCTGTATTCCTCGCTGTTTCTTCATATTTAATGGCTCTCATCATAGCTTTCATCCTTAATTCCCTCATCTTCGTTTCTTCCTTCATGATATAATTCGGATACACACACACATACATACTATATGTCCACATACTTACAATATAATTACAATATAATTTCTATTTTATGCCTATTTATATATTTTAAATTTTTAGTAAAATTTTTGGTCACTTTAAAATAATTTATTGACTAAAATCCATTTAAATATATTTTCACTATAACAATCACATTCTTTAAATTTGTAATTGTAAAAGTTTAAAATATTCTTGAAATGTGTAATTTAATATTTATGATTAATTATTGATTATTATCTTCTTCAATCAAAGATGTTTGATTTATTTCAGAAATCGATTATATTAATTTTGTTATTCTATTTATCGGATTTTTTAAAATTGTAATTGTAATTAAATGAATTGTGATTATACTCCCTGTCCAAAACCATTAATATATTAATTATATATTAATTAATATAATTAATTTAAAATATATTATATTAATATAAATAGATATATATATAATTTTAATATATATTATATTATATTAATATATATTATATTAATATATTATATTTGTTCGAAATTGAGAAGAAAATTAATATAATTGTTTAAGTCTATAATTTCAGTCTAAAAATCGATATTTTCTTACATGAATATGCGAAAAAAACGCGGAAAAAAGGGCTCGCCCGATATAAACAAGTAGGCGATAAATCAGGATTATCCTAACAAGCTGTCAATAATAACAACATTGCTCAACCGAAAGCAACGATTACCGTATTGATTATCGATGTAATAGACATGCGCCGTTCGATCACGTGGCTTCCGAAAGCCAATCGATCCCGCTATCGAGCGTTTCACGCATGTCAGGTGCGTGCTTGTTTCGCGTAAATTACGGGGCGGCCAATAAAGACAGGCGCCCTCGCGTCACCTTCGAACATTTTTAAACAAACGAAATTAATTGGTGAAGTATAAATTAGTGGGGCTTCAGTACCGCACCGATAAAGGAAGCGCCCACAAAAATTGCGCAGCTAGTCTCTCGAGTCTTAGTACGTACAACCGCTGTCAAACCGCTTAAAAATTACCGCAATTATTAACCGCACACGCACTTTGAAGTCGATCTCGGCTTATCTATTGGAACTTTTGTAAAATTACTGTATCGTCTAAATTGTGTTAAAGTAAACTCTGTGTTATTTTTAAAGGGTGATCAATTCTTTTCGGCCTTCAAATACACGCTCTCCTTCACGCGTTCGCGCATACATATTTTTGATCCTTCGAGACGGATTATCAGTTCGTCGCGCCGGCACGCGTGTGAACGTTCTTGAAGACGAGAGTGAAGTGCCTGAAAAAGAAATACAGTGAGTGTCACATCATGGATGCCGCTATATTATTAGATAGTCAGCGTGAGATCCAAGTTCGAATCTCACGCTCTGTCGAATACCTGAAGAAGATGGGCGCTCCTAACATCACATCCAGTGCCGTCCTTACCCGCATCAGACTTCTCGATCAAGCCTGGGATAAGTTCGTAATCCAGCACGATTAGCTGCGCATTGCCCTGAAAAATAAGTTCAGGAAAAGTGATTACGTTACTTCAGGACTCCATGATTTGACTGAAAATACGTACGTACAGCAAAGGAGCATCCAGGACGGCTACGCTGAACACATTCGGTCAGCCTCGGAGACAGTCAAGTTAAACGAAGCCGCTCCTCGAACCGCATTACCTCGGGTCAGGATTCCGCAGTTTTTGGGAGCTTACTCCGAGTGGCCAACCTTCCGAGATCTCTTCCTGTCTGTCGTCGGTGATAACGCCACCATCTCTAATATCGAACACCTGCATCATCTTCGGTCGAGTTTGAACAGACAGGCTGAAAAATTGATAAGCTTATTACCGGTGACAGGAGACAACTACGAACGTGCATGGACGATACTGTGCAAACACTATGAAAACGAGAGAGAACTCATCCGATGCAACTTCGCCGCATTCACCGCCGTGCCGAGAATGAAGAACGGAACCGCTGAAGAACTGCATCGCATCTATAACGCTGCCGTCACAGTCGTCAACGCACAGGAAAGTATAGGTCGTCCCATTGAATCTCACGGAATGGACCTCCTAAACTACCTGATCGTCGAACAATTCGACGCACACACTCGGATGGAATGGGAGAATTCCATATCCGACTCCAACAAGTCACCACAGCACGAAACACTGTTGGACTTCATGACGCGACGGATGTTCACACTTAACGCCGTGCATCCGAAGACTCTCAAAAAGAACTTCGGAGAGTCTTCACGAACGGCGAAGACACATGTTGCGAAGCACGGAACTGACCTTCCACAATGCGCACTGTGCCATGAAAAGCACCATCTGATGACGTGTCGCGAATTCAAGACGAAATCCGCTGCAGATCGAAAGGCCTTCGTTGAGACACACAGACTGTGTTTCAACTGCCTCGGAAATCACTATCTCACAAAATGTCAGTCGAAGAAGAACTGCTACACATGCAAGGCACGGCATCACACTTTACTGCACGACGCATACAACACGGTCACCGCACATACAGCAGAAGCCACTTCACTCGCCGCACTGCACAAAGCCAAAGAACAGAAGGCTGTACTTCTCGCCACTGCTCGGGTGAACATAGCCGATCGCCATGGAGCACCGCACGACTTCCGAGCACTGATCGACCAGGGATCAGAGGTGTTGATCGTTTCTGAAGCACTGGTGCAACGATTGAACCTGCCTCGATCACGCACCGACATGGCCATCTTTGGGATCGGAGGCGCACGACCAGGATCAACGCGTGGCAAGGTCACGCTGCACCTCACTTCGGACATCACGAACGCCCGGCTCTCCGTGATAGCGTTTATATTGCCACGCCTATCACTTCTTCAAGGCTCCACGTCCAGCACACTACAAGATTGGCCGCATATTCGAGGACTCCAACTGGCGGATCCTCAATTTCACGAGGACGATCCAGCCGAGCTACTCCTGGAAGCAGAGGTGTGCTCCTTAATTCTTGAAGAGGGTCTACGCAAGGGTGGACCTCAAATGCCAATTGCGCAGAAGACATCACTAGGATGGATACTCTCTGGAGGCTCCGACGTCGCATCCGCAGAAGAGCACCGTCGCACATTTCAGTGCACTGCCGATCACGAGCTACTCGAGCTGGTGCAGCAGTTTTGGGAACAGGAACGGGAGCCCAACGCAGTCACGACACTCTCCGTCGAAGAGCAGCAATGCGAGGAATTCTTCGTGCACACGCACACTCGCACCTCTTCAGGACGATATGTGGTGAAGCTGCCGTTCTCCTTACCAATCACTGCACTCTGCGAAACCCGCAAACCAGCTGAGCGGCTTCTTACAACGATGGAGAGGCGATGCGTCCAGGACCGTCGATTCGGCAATCTGTATCGCAACTTCATGAAAGAATACGAAGACCTAAAACATATGACGCTGGTGACATGCTCCACAACTAGCAATCAGTCAACGTACTTACCACATCATGGAGTACTCAAGGAGTCCAGTGCCACGACGAAGCTGAGGGTCGTGTTCAATGGGTCGCAGCGAACGCGAACAGGAGACTCATTAAATGCACACCTCATGACTGGAGCAAATCATCTGCCAGCTCTTCCTGACGTATTACTTCGATGGCGTCAACACCAGTATGTCTTTGTTGCTGATATAGAAAAAATGTATCGGCAGATACTCGTGCATCCGGATGACTGCAAATTCCAAACGATCCTGTGGCGTCATTCAACTGATGATGAAGTGCGAGAGTACCAGCTGAGAACGGTCACGGCGTGTGCTCCGTTTCTCGCCATACGGACACTCCGTCAGCTCGCAACAGACGAAGAAGAGCAGTTTCCTCGTGGCGCCGTAGCTCTGCGTCGAGACTGTTACGTCGACGATGTGGTCACCGGCTCAAATACGCTGAACGATGCGATCGCACTCCAGACGGAAATTCGCAACCTCTGCTTGACGGGCAGATTTCCGTTGAAGAAGTGGGCAGCCAACGACGAGAGGATCCTGACTGGAGTACCAAGCGATCATCTTTTGTAGCAATTGCCGCCAGCCTGGGAAGGAGAGAGCCACTCCACGCTAGGACTCCGCTGGCACCCGCAACACGACCAGTTCTCCTTCGTGTTTCATCCGCACGCTGCCATCAACCACACGAAGAGAACGGTTTTATCCGAAACCGCACGGCTCTTCGATCCAATGGGGTGGCTCGCTCCAGTCGTGATTCGAGCAAAAATTTTCATCCAATCCACGTGGCTGCAAGGATTAGACTGGGACACCCCGCTGCCGCCATCCGAAGCTCGAGAGTGGCAACGTCTTCTAAAAGAACTCCATCTTCTAGATCAGTTGCGAATAAAACGCTGGCTCGGGACCGGAGCAGATAAGACCACGCTGCAGCTTCATGGCTTCGCCGACGCATCCGAACGAGAATATGCCGCCGCAGTATACATCCGCATCACTGAAAGGAACGAAACGTCAATAAGGTTATTGATGGCCAAAAGCAAGGTAGCACCCGTCAAACAAGTGATCTTGCCAAAGCTGGAGTTGTACGCCGCCACGCTACTCACCAATTTGATGCGACATGTCAAACAAACGCTCGACCTGGCAACATCAGACACATACTTATGGTCTGATTCAACAGTGACTCTCCAGTGGATTCGCGGTCACTCCTCACGCTGGAAGACTTTCGTCGCCAATCGAGTCGCTCACATCCAGACGCAGCTGCCTAATGCACAATGGAGACACGTAGCTGGTCGCGATAACCCTGCGGACTGTGCATCACGGGGTATTAATTCAAGCGAACTGATCAATCACGTTCTATGGTGGACAGGACCTACCTGGTTATCACAGAACGAATCGGCCTGGCCAAATTCCGAGATAGAGATCCGAGGAGACGACGTGCCAGAAAGGAAAGCCACGAGCCTGATGACTGTGAACCGGGTCATCGTCGAGCCAGAAATCCTGCTCCGCTTCTCATCACTGCATCGCCTGCTACGGATATCCGCATGGTGCCGTCGCTGGCTGCGCGCTTCAGAGCCGACTCACACTGCTGGATTAACGTTGAGTCCGGAGGAACTTGACATGGCACTCTTTCGTTGGCTTTGAGAAGTGCAGACACTGCACTTCACGGACAAGATCACCGCAGTCGCAGCTGGACGCTCCGTCGCACCAAGCAGCACATTAGCCAAGCTGACTCCGTTCCTCGACGACCATGGTGTTCTGAGAGTGGGAGGTCGGCTTAAGAACGCCCTGCTGACACAGGATGAGAGGCATCCGATGATCATTCCAACCTCGTCGTGGCTGACTCGTCTGCTGATGGACTCCTGTCACCGTCGGACGCTGCATGGAGAAGTGCAACTCACCCTGGGGCTGCTTCGACTGCGTTCTGGATTCCACGAGGACGCACAGTTGTAAAACAACAACTACATCGTTGCGTCACCTGCACACGATGGCGAGCAACGACGCTTCAGCCACCGATGGGTAATCTACCCCGCGATTGGGTCACTCCGACTCGGCCATTTCTGCGCACTGGAGTGGACTATGCAGGACCCATCCTTATCCGGACGAGCAAGGGACGAGGACACCGCGCCTATAAGGGCTATATCGCAGTATTCATCTGCTTTTGGTCCAGAGCCATCCACCTCGAACTTGTCTCGGATTCTTCTTCAGAGGCCTTCATCGCCGCTTTACGTCGCTTTGTCTCACGTCGAGGTCTCTGTACGGACATATATAGCGACTGTGGAACGACCTTCATCGGGGCTGACCGCACTTTACGTGAGTTCTTCGTCGCTGCATCCACAGAGGGTCGTGGAATCGCACGCGTAGCTGCTGAACACGGCATACGGTGGCACTTCAATCCACCAGCAGCTCCGCACTTCGGCGGATTGTGGGAGGCAGCCGTCAAATCCGCTAAGTATCACTTACGGAGGGTGATAGGTGAAACCACCCTCACCTTTGAGGAACTGACCACTCTCCTTACACAAATTGAGGCCTGTTTAAATTCTCGTCTATTACAGGCACTCTCTGACGATCCAGACGATGTTACAGCACTGACTCCGGGCCACTTCCTGATCGGCGCGCCGCTTCTCGCCATCCCGGAGCCAGTACAGGAGGACAACCGTGGATCCGCAGCATCACGATGGCATCATCTCTAGGCGATGCGAGACCACTTTTGGCGGAGATGGTCGGGAGAATACATCCATGGACTCACCTCACGACCTAAATGGCTGAAGGTCGAGACAACACCTCGCATCGGAGCACTCTGCCTTGTGCGCTCCGAGATTTCGCCTCCAAACCGGTGGCCTCTCGCCCGGATCACAAAACTGCATCCCGGCGACGACGGGATCGTACGCGTGGTTACCGTTCGAACCGCGACCTCCGAGCTCGTACGTCCGCTCGTAAAAATTGTCTTACTTCCCGACTTCGCAACGGACGTAACAACACGCAACGCATAGACAGAAATGCACGACGCGTCACATCACTCACACACCTTTGCTCACGTTCATTCACTATGCACTTGATTACACATCACATACGCACTGTAACCACTTTTCACATTCACGCACATTATTTCACATCGAAAACGCGTTTCACTATTCTCAGCTGATCGCACCACGCTGTCAACACGTGTTCATCGTTTCAGCTGATCGAGCGACATTCCACGCGATAATCACGTGTATCTCGCCGCGCCGGCGCGCGCCTACCCCACTATCAATCGAGAATTCATAGCGACTTATTGTCAGCAAGTGACAAGGCGGGCGGGATGTTCGAAATTGAGAAGAAAATTAATATAATTGTCTAAGTCTATAATTTCAGTCTAAAAATCGATATTTTCTTACATGAATATGCGAAAAAAAACCGCGGAAAAAAGGGCTCGCCCGATATAAACAAGTAGGCGATAAATCAGGATTATCCTAACAAGCTGTCAATAATAACAACATTGCTCAACCGAAAGCAACGATTACCGTATTGATTATCGATGTAATAGACATGCGCCGTTCGATCACGTGGCTTCCGAAAGCCAATCGATCCCGCTATCGAACGTTTCACGCATGTCAGGTGCGTGCTTGTTTCGCGTAAATTACGGGGCGGCCAATAAAGACAGGTGCCCTCGCGTCACCTTCGAACATTTTTAAACAAACAAAATTAATTGGTGAAGTATAAATTAGTGGGGCTTCAGTACCGCACCGATAAAGGAAGCGCCCACAAAAATTGCGCAGCTAGTCTCTCGAGTCTTAGTACGTACAACCGCTGTCAAACCGCTTAGAAATTACCGCAATTATTAACCGCACACGCACTTTGAAGTCGATCTCGGTTTATCTATTGAAACTTTTGTAAAATTACTGTATCGTCTAAATTGTGTTAAAGTAAACTCTGTGTTATTTTTAAAGGGTGATCAATTCTTTTGGGCCTTCAAATACGCGCTCTCCTTCACGCGTTTGCGCATACAATATTAATTATATTAATTAATATAATTAATTTAAAATATAATTCTTTAAATGTATAATTTAATATTTATAATAATATAATAATTATATATAATAATTATATATATATATATATATATATAATAAATTTATATATATTTCAAATTTTCTAATATATTCACTGTATAGAGAAATTATTGGATATGTGGACGGAATTGAAGCTTCACGATCTGTTGGTAACAACAAACAATATAAATTTTTTAAATTTTACCTTAATAACGGAAATGGTAAAAGAATACAAATTGTAGCATGGAATGTTAACATAGATTTGGTTGAAAACTATATTCAAACTAATCGTGTAAGTTACATATTTATTTTACTATTTTATATTAATACAAATCTTTATCTTTTATTTTATTTATAATGTTTATAATAAGTCTATAATCTTTAGCGATTAATATAAAAAATAATATAAATTTAATACTATATAAACATCTTAAAATTCTGTAAAGGATAAGTTATTAACAAAGTGATAAATATAAGGCCAACTTATCGAGCTGAATATTCGAGATGTTCAGTCAACTACCATTTATTACATGTATAAATTATAAAACTACAGTCATTATATTAAAACTAACGCAAATTACAATCATTCTATAAACGTTTCGACCGCACGCGGTCTTCTTCAGTATAATTATTGAAATATAAATTCTTACAATTCACATAATATCGAAATTTAATTATAGTTATTCAGAATCAAGAGGTTAACCATAGCTTGAATTTTTTAGATTTATCACTTAAAATTATTAATAACAAAATATATATAGACTGGTATCAAAAAGAAACCTTCTCAGGAAGGACGTTATCATTTTATTCAAACCACCCATTATGCCACAAAATTGGAATAATATATAACCTTGTAGACAGATGTCTATTGCTATCACATCCACTATTTTTAATAAAAATTTGGAGTTAATTATTAATATACTCAGAAGCAATGGTTACCCTCTTGATCTGATTTTTAACAAAATTAATCATCGGATAGAACACATCATATCTAAGGGGAGCATTATAGAGAGACAGGCCAACATAGAAAGAACAAAAAGTATAGGAAATGACTCGGTCAATAAAAAATTCTTTGTCATTCCGTATATAGATGGGATCTCAGAAATGATTGTTTCCTCGGTAAAAAATAAAAATTGTATGGTAGGGTATAGATGTCTCAACAAACTGGATAATATTATTAAAGCGCAGAAAGATAAAACTAAACATCCATGCAATTCGAATCTGGTTTATAAGATCAGTTGCAATAATTGTAATGCATCTTATGTAGGCCAAACAAAGAGGCAATTGCAGACGCGAATGAAAGAACATAAAAATAATATTAGATTGGACTCAACGAAACATTCAGTAATTTCTGAACACATAATAAATGAACATCATACTTTTAATTGGGACAATGTTAAGATCATGGACAACGAAAATAATTATTATAAAAGACTCATTTCTGAGATGCTACATATCAAGGAACAAAAAAATGTACTAAATTTAAACAAAGATACTGAGTTACTTAGCGAGTCGTATTTTGATATTTTGGATATATTAGCGAACAAGAAATAATAATAGGACAAATAGGACATTAACGAGTAAAACATAGATATTAGATCATATATAAACACGCACGCTCTCCGATCAAGTAGAGTTTAAAATGAGCTGTCTTTCTGTATTGTTGGTTTGTTATGTGTCATCCTTAATAACTGTTAATAAGTAGCAAAATTGTCAAGAAGAACGATGATAGGTAAGCATACTACCAATTGTAGGGGATACATATTATAATTTGGACATACGTTGATCGGTAATTTTTAATTAATCGCAGCGCCTACGGAACGGGTTAATTTCTCGCATATTAACGATGAAACTATCCGAGATCTGAACAAAATCAGGGATCATATCGAGGCGAACATTGTTGGACAGGACGGATTGAAACACGCGTTAATTGCTCAAAAACTCTTGATTCTGAATAACTATAATTAAATTTCGATATTATGTGAATTGTAAGAATTTATATTTCAATAATTATACTGAAGAAGACCGCGTGCGGTCGAAACGTTTATAGAATGATTGTAATTTGCGTTAGTTTTAATATAATGACTGTAGTTTTATAATTTATACATGTAATAAATGGTAGTTGACTGAACATCTCGAATATTCAGCTCGATAAGTTGGCCTTATATTTATCACTTTGTTTTCAATATACGAGCGACAATTGTATTAATTTATAAGTTATTAAAATAAATATTATTTATATGTGCGTTTAAATATATATTTATATAAGGATGTCCACCATTCAATATTTTAATAATATATTCTTGAGATAAAATAGAGTACAAATTGTAATATAAAAATATCGAGGTTGTAATGGTTTAAGTATATATATAATAGTTTAAAATACATCGTCTAGAATCAACGCGCTTTTGCCCGAAACATATATTATACTACACGTATGTACGCGCGTATCGATCTGTCAATTGTTATTCTTATTGATTTTTACGACTCAGCTGATATTGAGTTTTCTACATAGCTGAGTTTATTATTTCTTAAATGCATGAATATTATGTATACTATCAAGATCAATTAATATTAAAATATTAATTATTGTAAAATTATAATTCTTTATTG